CTATCGGCGGCACGAGTGGCGAAGGCCCTTTTTGCGGTCCGTATGGGCGGCCGGCAGAAGTAGTAGAGGGATCCCATCCCGGGTCTCCTTGGCTCCACGGAAGTCCTCCGGAACGAACAGCAGTTTGGTCCAGCCTCTGTCGATCGCTTGTCCGGTAGCTCAGGAACTCTCGTTGGCGGTCAGCCTCGTGCACGTGGTGTAGACGTAGATTTGTCCAGGACGGTAAAGAAGGTAGGCGAGTGCGAATAGGAAAGCTCAAAAATAAAAATAAAAACGAAAAAAGCAGAAAGGCGAAACAGAAATAAGCAGAAAGGACGACAGGCGGAAACAGAGTGCAAAAACGATAAGCGAGACAAGCAAAGTCGTCTTTGGAATGTCGGGTGACTGACGTTTGGAGGATCGTTGCAGGTGGATTATGTTTGTTCCCTACTCCTAGCAATCTTTGTGACTGAATTTTCGAAATTCACGTCACAATATATACATTCTGCCTAAAACCAAACTCTTCTACACCGCAGACATCTTCAATAACTGATGCAGCAGAATCAAGGTAAGCACAATCAAATTATTATTGGTGAAGGTACTCTTTAATTTTTGCTGAATTATCATAAATGTTAGACTTCCTAAGTTTAATTGTTTAGTTGGTGATGGTTTTTATTTATTTAGAAACTTTCAAATCAATCCTAGCAAATATCCAGTTCAATTAATCCTTCCCTTGGTAATTAGAGGCATAGCCCAATTCCGAGTAAAGTGCGCAAGCATTGACTCAAAACAGGGCAAAGTAATAGTATATTACGGTTCGGTAAAGGCACCAGTCTAAGCCTCCATTCTGGTTCGGACGTAACAACAAGATTATTCTCTTCCTTTTGATCCAATAACTAGTATTAGGCAACAGGGCCAAATATATACCAAATATATATCTGTATAGTACCTTTACTCATCACACAAATGAGTGAGAATATTGGGAAATCCATAAAGATGAATATTGGAAGGACTCAAATCCGACGATCACATTAATCCCATAACCAACTTGAAAAGATGCTGAACAAATGTTGACGATCAAATTGATGTAATCCATCGACGAAGCATCTCGACAAGACAGGTAAGCCCCAAAATTAAATAATTATATTATTAAATCGCCGATATATGTCTTAATTTTTATAATGTGTGGAAAGAATGTGTGAATGAACGAATGATATTTTTCACCTTTTCAAAACTTTCAAAAATTTTCAAAAATTTTCAAAATTTTCTAAATTAAAAAAAAATTCAAAATTTTGCGGGAATTTTGCAAAATGCGGGAATAAAGCAAATTTTCGGGAAAACCAAATATGCGGGAATAAAATGCAACTTTAGTCCTGCTTTTCAGGGAATAAAGTAGCTATTATAGCTCAGTTGTGAAGAAAAGAATATTATAATCCAATTCGATCTTTTTCAAGTCGACGCAAAAACTTTCAATCTACAAACTGTATAAATGTCAGAAACCTCACATTATTTTGAAAAGCAAGGTCAACAACCTTAAGAGACAGAGTTTTGAAAACTTTTAAAATTAAAGTTATGAATATATTCTGCTCTAACGCTCGCTAATAATAATTATAATGATGCGCTTCATGTTCGTAGTATCTTTCTTAATGAAACTAAAGTCGCTTTTAAATGAGGAAAAAATTCTAATATTACACCTAGTGAAATAGTGGATCTTCTAGGGCCACATATGGATATTTAATCATTTCTGCATAGAATTAACAGTATTAGCAACACAGGAATTAGTAAATAGTTCCCTCGAACTCATGGATTATAGTTTTACCTGGGAAAACTGTATGCCTTAAATTAAAACATAGAAAAATTGTATGAAGAGTAAATAAAAATTATTGGTATAACATACATTATCGACTTTATTCCATTATCCTTATTCCTCAAAATATTTAACACCCCAGTCTTCATGAGGTCGTGTATCAGAAGATAATTTCATTACGAATAAGAAATACAAATCAAAGATATCGAATGCCTAGGGTGTTTTTGTACTTCCTTCGTACCACAACCACGTCATCCTTCCCCTTTCATCGGTTCTTCGCGGGGGGGACCCACTGGCGCACAGACCCCATTGGACACAAATGACATTTTACTGCAAATTCTGTCCACTTCTAAATAGATGGAATAGAATGAGGTACAAACGATGTCTTATTATAGTATATCATATATGGTTCAACATTAGTTTACGCTAGGTTCAGTTAGGTAAGGTTAGAATAGGGTGGAATGTTCAAATTTCGGAGACTGAGTAGGTTAGTGAATAAGTATATCGTCGGCGAGCGAGCGAAGCGAGCGAGTCCGACTGAAGAGAGCATTAAATCCTTGAAAAGGCTCCGTCAGATAAAGATAACTTACAATATAGTTGAATTAATGATGAAATATCGCTCAAGAGGCAGAAATTCGCATTTGTGTCCAATTGGGTTTGTGCGCAACTGGGCATCACCGGTTCTTCGCATATGCACATCACGCACCATTTTGCAATATTTAGGCAGAAATTCGCATGGCGAGCGAGCGAAGCGAGCGAGTCCGACTGAAGAGAGCATTAAATCCTTGAAAAGGCTCCGTCAGATAAAGATAACTTACAATATAGTTGAATTAATGATGAAATATCGCTCAAGAGGCAGAAATTCGCATTTGTGTCCAATTGGGTTTGTGCGCAACTGGGCATCACCGGTTCTTCGCATATGCACATCACGCACCATTTTGCAATATTTTTTTCCTGTGTCGAGTTGGCCAAGTTTCTCACACCTTATGGTTTTCCTCATGGCAAAGTGTTGTTAACGACTACAGGGATTTATGAACTTTGTCTACGAACCAGGTGTACGGCTACGACTGCCCGACAGACTGTCGAAAACTTGAAGGCGCCAGCAATCCTAGCGACTCGCTGCAGTTTCTTTCCTTCGTTTTGCCAATAAATCTTGTTCCACGAAAAATGTCACACGTTGAACTTATTGGACTGCAACTAGTTTTCCAAGAATTTCATTATTATTCGGACCATTATTTTATTTTCACCTCGAATTTTGAAACGAAAAATTTCCATCGCACAACTTTTGGGCCTGGAAATTTTAATGAAAAAATTTCCGTCGCAAATGTTTTCGATTCCACGACTAGTTTTCGAACGTCACCAAAGTCATAAAAGTTATCTTGCAGACCACCATCGAACGAAGAAATTTCTCACGCAGAACTTATCTCTTGCACTTAGTTTTCATACGGAAAAATTTTCATCTCAAATTTTGAAATGAAAAATTTCAGCCGCAAAACTTTTGGGACTCATCCCGACCTCTACTTAGGCCACGCCCAAGTCTCGCCATAACGGATCTATTACTACTTAGGTTTCTGTCGACGCCACATTCTGATTGGCGAACTTTAAAGAGCACGAACTTATACTTTCTTTGTCGTGATGAACTGAGCTCTTAAGCAAACGAGAATGATTTCATATCCTTCATTTCATAAAGTTCGTCCAAATTACAGCCCTTATGAATAGTGTACGATATGATAAAGCTAATTATTTTTTTTCGGACTTTGAAATTCTGTTGGACTCCCTGCGAGGCTTGGTGGTACTAGTGGTCAGCGCATACGCCAACGCTAATGCGCCGCGCCGGATGAGTAGTGTGTGTATGTGTGCGAAGAGAGTAAGTAAGATCCGCCGCAACGATCGAGGATAGTTAGACGCGATGGTATCGCGAGAAATTCGTATGGACAGAAGGAAGGCTGATTGTCCGGTCGTATTGTCTACTGAACTGGGTTCTTATGAAGCTGAGTTGATTCCTATTTTCCATCTAAATAAAGGGGGTAACCCTATTTATAATATTAGCACGTATTGTTCTTAATATTCCTTTGCAACCTCCACAGACGGTTAGTGTTGAAACAAGTGAGAAGAGAGATTATTAATAGTTCTAACAGATGTCTAAAAATATCCTTTTTCGGGCTGTCCTCGGAGATCAATCCTTTACAATTTTCCTTAATATTTCAATTTGCAGTTTAAGTGATTGAAAAAAAGGACCCAACATCATTACATATTTTAAAAGCTTTTTTTTCAATATTATCAGTACTCTTGAATTACTCACCAAATCTGCACTGTCCACATTACCGTTTACGTTTATAGCAATGCTAATCCCGGTCAACGGTTGTGATTGAATATGTTGTTCTAATTTCAAGTACTTCTTCGCCATTGTTTCGAGCAAACTTAGGAGTCTTTGGCTTACATAAGGATGTAACCCTCGAAATTGAGATGACATATTTGCCAAAGCTGCCAAACAATTTGTATGCAGATATTTGTCCTGGTAACAATTATTTGAGGAGAATAATTATATATACCATGATTTATAAAATTAGATATAATGCACAACGAACTATTTGATATTTGTTATAAATCATTAAGATCAATGTTTTATACTAAAAAGATATACATACCCTCATTTTAAGCATGTTATACTGTATAGTACGTATTACCACAAGAATTAATAGCCCACCCAGGGAAATTTCACTTATACACCTTTCTGTATACCATGATACTCCTTTTAACATCTAAAATGAAATTGAAATACGCACATCATTATAATTACAAATTATTTTGCCGCTCATGAAATAAAACATAAAATAAATTTATTAATATGAACATAAACGTACAGTTTCATGTATATTCTTGTTAAAAATTTCATCCTCACTAAGTATGAGTAGAATTATGAGGGACATGTATATATGATGCGAAGTATTGTCCGGTGCATTGTAAAGTATTCGAAGTATAGGTGTTACCTGAAAAGTCATCAATCATTAATGTATATGTATATCACTTAGTTATAACTTTGATTTAGATTGAACATAATAAATTATTTATCAGTTTATAGGCCGGTCACTTTACGGCTTCTAAATTCATTTCGATGTAGGAATGATCATTCATCTGTTATACAGGGTGCTTCGTAATTGCCATACACGGTAAGTCAATACTGGTTCAGGGTGGCCCCCTGAGTAAGAATCCGTAATTCGTTTGGTCCTACGTTCAGTAGTTTTTCTACAAATTTAGTTTTACTTCTGCCAATCAGAGGACAGCTTTGAGCGAGGTGTCGCGACGCCGCCAACAATGGAAGACTTTACAGGACTTCACTATAATCGGCTGAGTTCACTTGGTACATGTGGCAACGATAAACAAATTTAAAGATCCATTTGATTGTCTGCCGCACATAGCATTTGTTTCTCGACGGCATCGATGAAGTTAAAGCCAGCCAGGGATGCCCACTAGATACTACACCAAGCAAAGCACCAGAGAATGGGATTGGAGTAATACAAATGCTACCGACGTTCCATGGACGAAACACATAAGCTGGACACCGGATCTTACAATACGTCAGATTGAAAAAAAAAATAGACTAGGAGAGAAAAACACGTAACGCCTTATTTTGCTCAGAGAATATTCACACCAATTTGCAGCTTTTTGCAACTTCCGGTGCAAAAGTTAGAGAGCACCTGTCGATTCCGAATTTTGTAAAAAATACATCCAATTGAAAATATGGACTTGGATAGAAATGCAAAAACACGTAACGCCTTAGTTTGCCCAGAGAATGCAAATTGGTGTGAATATTCTCTGAGAAAAATAAGGCGTTACGTCGCACATAGCATTTGTTTCTCGACGGCATCGATGAAGTTAAAGCCAGCCAGGGATGCCCACTAGATACTACACCAAGCAAAGCACCAGAGAATGGGATTGGAGTAAAACAAATGCTACCGACGTTCCATGGACGAAACACATAAGCTGGACACCGGATCTTACAATACGTCAGATTGAAAAAAAAATAGACTAGGAGAGAAATGCAAAAATACGTAACGCCTTATTTTTCTCAGAGAATATTCACACCAATTTGCATTCTCTGGGCAAACTAAGGCGTTACGTGTTTTTGCATTTCTATCCAAGTCCAAATTTTCAATTTGATGTATTTCTTACAAAATTCGGAATCGACAGGTGCTCTCTAACTTTTGCACCGGAAGTTGCAAAAAGCTGCAAATTGGTGTGAATATTCTCTGAGCAAAATAAGGCGTTACGTGTTTTTGCATTTCTCTCCTAGTCTATTTTTTTTTCAATCTGACGTATTGTAAGATCCGGTGTCCAGCTTATGTGTTTCGTCCATGGAACGTCGGTAGCATTTGTTTTACTCCAATCCCATTCTCTGGTGCTTTGCTTGGTGTAGTATCTAGTGGGCATCCCTAGCTGGCTTTAACTTCGTCGATGCCGTCGAGAAACAAATGCTATGTGCGGCAGACAATCAAATGGATCTTTAAATTTGTTTATCGTTGCCACATGTACCAAGTGAACTCAGCCGATTATAGTGAAGTCCTGTAAAGTCTTCCATTGTTGGCGGCGTCGCGACACCTCGCTCAAAGCTGTCCTCTGATTGGCAGAAGTAAAACTAAATTTATAGAAAAACTACTGAACGCAGGACCAAACGAATTACGGATTCTTACTCAGGGGGCCACCCTGAACCAGTATTGACTTACCGTGTATAGCAATTACGAAGCACCCTGTATATGATAACAAAATTTATTTACAAGTTTATTGCTTCAATTGTAATTATAAGGCAATCTTCTCGAAAACTAAGAAAGATATCGAAAAGTGTGAATATTACAATACGTCACTGTAGCTCATTCTGTTTTTTGAAAATTGCTCTACGAATTCGACAGATGGATTTCTTTTTAAAGTCTGGACCGTTTAAAAATTACAACCTACTTGCTCTTAGGTTACCTGCAACCTTTTGCTTGCAAGAGTGGGCGTGCGAGAACCCTTGCGTACGTAACGATTACAACAGATCAAGGGACAGACTGACGCTCCCTCACAACTCCTCATCCCTTATTCCACCCACACAAAACCTCACACGCACTGATTCACACACTCGTAAACTAAGGAGCGCGTTAGGCTAAATTAGGTATAAGTTTTGTAGAGATTTACATTTGCAATACAGTAACATAACGGACTTCAGGGTGTTCTACTTCAAACACCTTCCCCCAATTCCATATACCTCTTGACAATATTTAAGAATAAAATTTCTCTAAAACAAATCTTCTGTTATGTATTGGGAGTAAAGTGACTCAGGACGAACAACTCCGTATTTAATAGTGTAATATATTGAATAGCAAGAATGATTACAAATGATGTGTCCGGCTTAACTACCAGCAAGTAACTGACGCGTGTGTGCTCTCACTCTATCTTCGCACTATTGCCCGGTGGCCCATACCTCGGCTATAGGGTGCGATTATACGTGAGGTGTTTCGCATACATCACATCTTCAAAATTCGCTGTATTATAAACTGTATTAAGCACTGTCCTGTTTTCCAAAAGCATCCCTCAATTAGACTGTCCATCATGTTACTGACATCTACATGATTATTCTATTGTTACATTCAAAGGATTTAATTATGAAATTTATTAAGAAGAATATTAAAACGAGTAAAAATATTGATGAGAGTTATGATGACTATAGGAGCATTACCGATAAGATACAGAGACACCGGACATCAGAAACCGAGGTGTCTTTATACAGAACGATCGAGAGGAAGCCAGTGAGAATTGACAGCTGAATCGAGCAGCATCAGTCTTATTAATATTCACTTTATAGTTAGAGTTAAGTTTATTTTTGTAATCATTTTTCAAAAGGATAAATTCATATCCAACAAGATAATTCGAGCCAATTATGAATATTTCTCAAAGCTTTCTTTTTCTGAATAGTAACATAATAACCAGAAATATCTATATTTGTAATTTATATTAATTGCAGCACATATTAATACAGGGTGTCCCAGAATGATCTTCATATTGGAAAGTGGGTGATGGCTGGAGGTCCACCGAGTATCCTCCCCCAAACCGTTTGTCAAAATTCGCAATAGTTTTTAAATGGCAAGCATTAAAGATGCACCAATCAGAACGAAAGATTTCCGCGGGTCATGGGAACTTGGTGGTAGGTACAGTCGTGAAAGGCAAAACTTAGCTGCTACAGATAGATGGCGCGATTCACAATTGTATCACGATTCAAACATCAAGTGTTTTCGTTGACAGACTGTCGATACTGGCCGAACGCCTTAGATTCGTATAGCCGTCTCATGCGCAACGCGCGATTCTCAATTATTTCGAGGCATGCATTCAGTCAGACGCGAACCTATACACAGTGTTTTAAACGAGTTGAAATGCTATTCTAATTATCGGCAAAGTAGAGAATTTTTATCTGCTCTTAAGTTATCCTGTACATTTTCCTGGATCTGCATGGAGCTTTTCGCCGTGGTCTTCAAAGTACAGATGTTCCTCGTTCATGTTCTGGAAGTCCTGCTGTTCCACGCCCTTAATTTCTGCGGTACTTTTTCCGAAAAAGTCTCTGTGAAAAGTCTCTCTCCGCTCTCTTCACTCGCTCGCTCTCGCTCTGTAACAATCTGTTTCCCCTGGACTACTGATAATTAAAGTAGCATTCTAATTCGTTTGAGACACCGTGCACGCGTTTAGGCCTAACACGTTGCGCACGAGACAGCTGCAAGAAGCTAAGATGTTCGGCCAATATCGGCAGTCTGTCAACGAAAACGTTTGACACTCGGATCGTGAAATAGTGGCGTATTGCGCCATCTGTCTGTAGCAACTAAGTTCTGCCTACTATGACTGTATCTCCCACCACGCAGTCATGACCCGCGGAAATCCTTCGTTCTGATTGATGCAACTCAAATGTTTCCCATTTAAAAACTATTGCAAATTTTGACAAACGGTTTGGGGGAGGGTACTCGGGGGATCTCCAGCCATTTCACACTTTCCGGTGTTAAGGTAATTCTGGGACATCCTGTATATCAATTCTACACTAATAATAATAATAATAATAATAATAAAATACTATTTATTGCCCATCTTGATCCTAGTGCCAAACCCGAAACCTCAGAACGTTGTTCTTCTCCACCGCTCCCAGTGGAAGGGGGGGGGGGGGTTCC